GGTTGTGGAGTCTCTTCTCTGGAGATATTCCAGACCCGCCTGGACAAGGTCCTGTGCAGCCTGCTGTAGGTGACCCTGCTTGGGCAGGAGGGTTGGACTAGATGACCCACAGAGGTCCCTTCCAACCCCTACTATTCTGTGATTCTGTAATCTGTCAAGCAAAGACTTACTTGTAACAAACCTAAACAAAACCCCAGCACTAAATAATAGATAGCTATGTATCTTAACTGAAGACCTAAAATACAGTGATTAACTGACATGCAGCAATGATTCTCACAGGCTAGAAGGTGACAACCACAAGGACAGGATTTCGCTGTCAAAATGTACAGACAGCAACCCCCAGGCAGAGATAAAAATTGGAAGGATAGGATCTGTACAACGTGCTTGGCAGGAACATCAAACCAGAGAACCACTGCGGTGCTCACCCACCTGGTACACAGTGAAACCTAAAGCCTAGGAGCCCGGCCTCGTGCTAGCGACTCGGGAAAGCAGCGGGGAGACGGCGAGGTACCCCGCCCAGGGGCACCTCGTCATAGCCACGCGCAGAAATGTTCTGAAGGTGGTAACCTAGCTATGGATGCAACTCGTGGCAATTCGATGTTAATGAAAAGGCAGGGTTTTTTTCTGGGAGGTGGAAAGCAGTGAGTGTTCAATTAGGTTTTCAGAAACTAGTTAAAAGCCATCTAAGTCTGTTGAAACGCTCAGAGCAGGCCTTTCTACGCATCGACTAAATGCCATTTTCATACAGGCTTCCAACAAGCGACAGCTGTAGAACATTTTTACTACCTTCTAACTTCAGCATTTTAGAGGTTGACATGGACATCTCCTCCTCTCTTCTCCACGGACCTGTCGTTAATAGCATGACTGCTCTACCAAAAAGTCTATGTTTTGAAAAGCTTTTATTCCTCTTTTATCCACTTCGTTCTACCGTGTGACTGCACGCTCCACATGCAGGGTGAGCTCGGCGGCTATCGCCTGTGTCCCATCCCAACCTGCCGCAGCCACTAAGGACACTCCCCCCGACTTCACTAAGCTTCACACCAGGGTTTTATTCAGGATTTAGCTTTAGCTTCCATTCACGGCTCAATTCACCGCGTGCCTCACGCCAGCAAGGAATGGTCAGTGCTGCCGTGTTCCACTCCTACAGAACGACGGCCAGATGTACTCGACAGCTTTTAAGTTCAGGAATCACAACAAATTCAGAGCTGCACAACTGGAAACACCATCTAACAGGCATGCAGCAAGAGGAAATTCAGCTAATCTCATGTTTGCTTATTTCTTTAACATTCTATTAAAGCAAAGAAGCTCTATAATGAGATTACTCCATTTTATCTCTTAATTGTATCCAGATATACAAAACAGATTTACTGCTAGTGGCTTGTATACAGTACAATATTTTAAAGCTAATTATGAAACAGCATTCCGATTGTCACACAAGGAAATGCTTATTCTTACTGTTATGAATCAAGATCATTTTCTAAAATTAATTGTAATTACCTTTTTAATTGGATATAAACCCTACTAAAATCTGAAACAGCTAGTTATACAAATATAATTCTTTTAAATCCGGGATGATATCAGCATAAAATATTTTAATTAAATATAAAAAAGGGAACAAAGAGACATTAAGTAGTTTCCCATTATTAAAGCCAGCTGTAAGTCAAGTCTTGAAAGTATTCAGGCTTTTTATTTTTGAACACCTGAAATCTGCCATTGTCCACGTAAGCATGCACACACATCCTCCCGAAGCAGTGTATTAATAGATTAATTGTTCACTGAGGAGCAGCTAGCACCTGGCTTTTGCTCTTATTATTCCACACAGAGAGGAAAGCATATTAAAGTATTTACCCTCACAAATCCCCAGGGCCCAAAAGATCTACCGGTCTTTTCATTGCTTATGTATCAAATACAATAAACTATAAAAAAACTGTTAAGCAAAAAGTTTTAAAATAATATTGTATCGAAGCTCTGTTCAAAAACATTGGTGAGTAGATGGTGAAAACCTTTACCTGATCTGTTAGTTACTATTTCATAATTTAAAAAAATACTGTCCCTCTATTATAATACCTCACGTATCTCAATCACACAGCTGGTCAACGCGCATTAAATTATAGGTAATTATAACCCGGCTCTGCAAACGAAATGTAACATTTTGCACACGTTTCAGAACACACGTTTAAGCTCAGTTTTGCTGAACAAATATGCGTAGCAGGAACAACCGAAGTCTTGACCACAGACCAATCACAGCTCGTTTGCACGTCTCACTTGAACAGGGACACCTTCTCCCACTCTCCGCTCACTGGTACAGGGGAAGGAAGAGCCACTTACTTACCTCAGCTGAAGGACGCAGCGGAGCAAAACTTACCTGAGTTCCAGCCATCTTAACGAGCATCATTTTTCAACGCTATTATACCTGTATTTCATACACTTGTGCATCCAAAACTGATAATGTTTACACACACTACAGTAATTACGAGCATCATTTTTCAACGCTATTATACCTGCATCTCATACGCTTGTGCATCCAAACTGATAATATTTACACACACTACAGTAATTAATGCAGTTACATTTCATGAGCTGCAATGAATCAGAACTTCCAGATAAGGTATTCAGGAGGAAACATCTTACTTCTTATTGACTTCTTAAAGCAAGGACTGAAATCCATATTAAATTGCCAGTATTTTGGTGGAAGTTAATTTAGATTCTGATGCTGAGTCTATATTTGATGACATATCATCCAAGTGATTTCATAAACAAATATTGCAGAATGCATATCTGAGACTACCAAGAAATTTTATTTAACCAGCAGCAGCTCACCACCAGAAAAAACCCAGTATTTCATGTGTTTCGCCGAGCATATATACGTTCAGAAGCCAACTCTGCTCGAATCATCCTTCAGTATCATTATGCAACCAATAAATATTGATGTTAACACTTAGCACTATCTGTAAGGACATTAATTTTCTATTTATTTGAAAAGCCCACATTATCTAGGAAGGCTCTTCCAGTATTTCTGTGATCTAGATTTCATCGCAGATATTATTCATTCTGAATTTAAGTCTTTTATCTGCACGCCAAGTGTTAAATTACATTGGGTTACTGTCTGCATCATTCTATTTTTACCGCAGCTCTTCACAGATTAAGATTCAAATCCTTTGAATTTAGTAGGATTTTGACAGTACTTCAAGCAGTGCAAGTGTTAGCTCTGTCCACCTCATTGTGACATTTCTGAATTTCTAAGCTCTGGATGTGCCTGCGGAAACTGTATTTACCTGCCGTGTGAATCCTGTCGCCGGATCCTTGACAGCCATCCTCGTCATCACAGTCCCCGCTTGACTCCATCTCTTCAGTTCTTCCACCCCCGCTGCCAGCATCTCGGGAAGCCCATCTTTCCAGTTTTAATTTCGCCTTGTCAGCATCCAGCTAAAACAGAAGAAGCGAAAACCCAGCAACGGTCAGAATATTCACACAGGTCCTACCTCTGGTGATCAAGCTGGGTCTGCAAAGCAACAACCACTTTTCCATTCACTTTCAGGAACGGCTCCTCAAGTTGGAGGTCTTTCCTGGCACTGATATCCAAATATTTAGGAATAACAGACTATACCATCAAATTTTCTTCACCACAGATGGCCAGGGACACCTACCATCACGCTGTTTATTAAAAACACCACACCTACCAACACCATCACAGGGAGCTCTGGTCCTGCAGCTTTTCTCCTTGCAAACCACAGTGTGGAGATCCCTGGTTAACGATGGTACAGTCTGCCAACTAGCTGAGTACTTATTTTGGGTTCTTTACAACTGCAGACCACAACATACTCCACAACCTTTGAAGAGTTGAGGGTACTTGTTACTTTTCATTGTGGGCTTGGTTACTCGGAAACCCTGGCCCCTGGATATGAGTTTTCAGATGGTGTCATTTAAGGTGTCTGTATCAACTGCAAGCTGTTCATTAAATTTCACTTGAAATACAGTTCTTGGACTGAGTATAGAGTAAGCAAGCCTTTTCCAAAATAAATCTAAACGTATCATATTTGGTCACACTTGCTATAACAACATATTTACTCCCCATACTCCTCTTTTTGACCTTTAGATAACTCTTTCTCCATCTGTCACCACAAACAGTCCCTACTATTAGCGCTGCGGGAATGATTCTTCAGTTCACCGGTAGTTCCAAAAAATGAAAAACACCATTTCAGTGAATCTAAACCCAGCCTATGCAGGGAACAAGAAGAGCAGCACTATTTGGGAAAAAATGAAGCTACTGGCTTGGACTAATCCATTCTGTTACAAGGCACTCGTCAAGGACGGGTGGTTCAGGAGAAACCTGGGCCCATCGCCCACAGCTGCGAGGAGCACCAACGCGCTGAGCGGCGCGGCACCTCTCCCGGGGCCAAGCTGCCCCGGCTACGCCGAGCTTCCACCCCCCCACACCCACCACCCGCGCTTTGTGAGCGGCTACTAATTTCTTTTCTGAATCTTACAGATTCTTCTGGACTGGAAAATTACACTGGAGGGTGCTGGCTTTGTTTCGAAGGGATGCAAAGAGCCATTGCAGTGTTTCTGATCCCTCCCTTCACGCAGGTGAAGCTCAGCCTGCACCGCACGCGAACACCGTTGGAAAGGCAGCAGCTTGTGTCCCTTTCAGAGTCGTGAAAACTTTGCTCATGTAAGCTCTGCTTGTTACGATTAGGACCTGTTATCCTACCTATGTGGAAGTATTTCAACCAAATGGAAAGACTCTGTAGCGCTTCTCAAAGCTGCTCAGATTCCGGATCTATCTGACACCCCTCATCACAAGTTAGCTTCCCCCCCAGGTATTGCAGATCCATCTTCGGCTTTGTGATCTGCTTTATCCCAGAGGAACATGATTATTCTTGGTACTCAGCAAAATGTATTTTGCAATGTAGCTACTTTGCAGATTCAAATGCATTTCACACTAAAGAGGAGGCGGGCTGGGAGCTGGGGGAGGACCTGGAGCACAGGGCTAATATGACTGCATTAACGGGGTTGAAAGGATGACGACGGATGTGGCAGTTCCTCTGTGGTGGGAAGCTCTGTGTGACAGTCTCCTTCAGCTCTGGTGAGCTGCCGTCCTCCGCTCCGGGGCTGACAAACACTCGGAGATCCCGTTCTGCGGAACGACAGATGCCAACTTCCACAAGGCAGAACTCGGGGAATTTTTCACCCTTTCACTGAAAAGATCAGTTTGCTCCTTGTGAAGACAGAAATAACTCCACGCTGCAGCGGGAAGATCAGTAGGTGGGAGGAGAGGGTACGGGCGCTACGGGGAAGCGCGTTAAACACTCTCTAATTGTTACTGCATGGCTGTTTCTTACAAACAAGTCGCTTAATGTTGAGCCTCATTATCCACAGGCGCAAAGGCTGATGTCACGGCAATACAAAACATTCTGTGAAACAATCGGAAAAATTTGCCAACGAGGGAGAAAGATAACTCAGTTCTTTCACAGATTTATTGTGTCCTCACCATACTAGAGAAGACTCATTCATTCTTCGTTATAATCCGTCAGAATGAATCGCAATGGCTAAGTGGTGAGCAGAACGGATGCAAAACCTAATAAAGGCTTTTAATGATTGTTTATCAGTCAAAGCAGGGATGTTTACTGCCTGTTAAGGCACTCCTCCTCATCAAAAATTTGATTTCATTCAGTGCTCGTGGCTCAATCCTGACCTTTGCTTGGAACAAGTAAATACTTGAAGCAAACAGGCACCTCTTTCTTGGAAAAGGACCAAGAAACAAGCTCAGCTTTTCCACATGGAGCACCGCACCATTTTACAGACTTCTGGGCTCTTAGTGCCTTCACCACAAGAAGAGATTAACTGTAGCCCATACCTGCATCTCCTGCCCACACTAATGAAGGTGCACCAGCTCCTTTGTTGTCTCCTAGGAGAGAGGGCCACCAAATTACACAGAACCTTTACATACAGATTCAACACTACAACCTAAAGTCAACTCAGGTGCAACCTACCAGCCCTCTTCACCTTGTATACCCTTTCCTAACCTCTTCCAGTGACTTTTCCAGCAAAGAATTTTCTGTCTGTGGCTACCTTTCACCTAGAATGATTGATCAGAGCCCAACTTTGTGCAGAGATAATGGTTTCTGTATAAATAAACCTATTCCAGGAGATGAAATAATTGAGCCACATTAGTGAGGAGCTCCACCCACACTCTGCAGCCCTGTTGAGAAGACCAACGCATAGTGACTTGTGATCTAGCACCCTTCTCTTTTCCAAATTTTGAAGGAACACTTGTCCTTTGGCCACCGCCACATGACTTCAGCGAGATCACTTTTTTCATGTGATAGCAAAGCGTACGCCAGCATTTCTGCATCTCCTTTTCTCATTCAATCGTAGAAACCTTTCTCAAAGGCCTGAGACCGCACTGAAATAGTACAGACTGCATCAGGATAGACAAGGATGGAGGAGGTTTGGAAGAAGATCACAATGAAAGACATTAACCTTTACTATTTATTAAGCTCTGCTAGGTCCAGAAGATGGGTGTGGACAGGGAATGCCCATAATGCTTTGTGGCTGAGACTGAGAGGTCTCCAACAGACGAGCTGGAGGTCATATGCAGGTTCAAGGCATCTTCAGAGACAGCCATGACCTACTGAAAAGCCTGAACAATTCTCCTAGCTGTTGCCACAAACGACTAAAACCTTCTGCTTCCCCACAGACGGCTGTAGAGAGAATCACAGTCCCCTGCCCACATTTCACACTAGAGATCGGAGACTGGAGTCAGTCACAGCATTGTGACTATTGCTTAAAATCCACTCTTAAACCAGCCTTATCCCGCCGACTCACACTCCACCCAGTGACATACAATGCCATCGAGCTGTCTCTGGCAACTCTGCACAACGGCTCCAGCCTGGGAGTGCAGTTTTGATGCTGAGAATTGATGCTTTGGTAAAGCAACTGCAGTGGATTTCAGGCTGGACACTGGAGCTTGCACCTTTACCTTCACAACGCAGAAGGCATCTTCTGCTCCAGAAAATGCTGGAATCTTAACAGCTTAAAAATTAAGTCTTCAAGTTTTTGCCACATCTGAAAGGCAAATTTTTTTCACTCACAAAAAAGCTCATATAAATAGATCAGTAAAATTTGTACAGTCCAACTGAAAACCAGCTCGGATCAGGGATCTTCCCAGCTGCAAAAGGCTTTGGATCAGGTTCATAAACCTCTACAAGGTTTTTGAGAAGCTATACGGTCTTCTTGTGGGAAAGCGTTAGTACCTGCGTCTGATTCAGCTGAAAGGTAAAAATCACCTATTGCTATTCAGCTCCGAGTCAGACACAGATGACCAACCCCGTGCATCTCATTCAGTCCAGTAAAGGTGCCAACCTTAAGCGACATTTAAAAATTTTTTTTACAGCATAGACAAGAAACACAAATATCCGTGTAAGTAAAAAAAAAAATAAATTTTTTTTTAAAAATTGTTTTACGGAGAAGCAAGAAGTCATGCGAGACCGGCTGCTGTCTTTCCCCCATTAATACCTGACCCCGTCGGATAAAAGAGCCCTTGGGATTCAGCGGCTCCCAAGGGCATGTGACACACAGCCCCCGAGCCTGCCACCAGTCTGACCCCAGCTCTCACTCGGACCACAGCTGTGCTCGCATACAAATTTATTCTCTTGGTTTTTCATGAAGACACGTTCCAGTTCAATACTTCCACGCATTAATCAAATAATAACTGTTTGGGTCCATGGAAACTCTTCGATAGAAGTGCCAATTTCTATCCGCTTCATTGATTAATCTATTTTCTGAGGGGTCATATACGCATGTATATCTGGGGGGACGACTCCACGCTGTAGGGTAATAAACTCCTTTCATCAGAAAATAGGTTTTAAAATTCTATTTTGCACCACAGTTTCACACTTCTCAGGTCAGTGAACACAACAACGAAGCGTAAGAGAATGCACTTTTTGAATAAAGCCACTTAAGAGTCGTGTGCTTGGAATATTCAGACACATCCCATACAGTAATTGCTTCCTGAGGGAATTGTGAGTTTTCTAGATAACGGATTTCCGTGTGAATGCTTTCCCTCTCTGAAAGGACAGCTTGGAGGTGAAGTCTGACTTCTGCCCCCTGGCCCTGTCAGCACGTGTATCACTGGCTGCTCTTTTCGCAGTGACCAAAAACGTCTGATTACATACTGCATTTAGAGATTGTAAGCCGAGCGTGACCTTTTCTCAAGGTACTTGCAAGCAGTTGCCTTTTAAACAGCGATTCAGTGAGATAAATATGACTTGCAGAAACAAAGCATTTTGCCATCTTCTGCACAAATAATGCACAAAGCCTAATCTCAAAGAGTCATATATGACTCAATCCTTCCATTCATTTTTTTCAACAATAAAAATAAAAAATCCTTTCTACACCATTATTAGGTCAGAAATGACTACAAC